TATATATATATATATATATATATATATATATATGTTTTACAAAAATATGATTTTTTCTATGCAACCAAACATAGGAATGAGAATGGTCATTTTCATTCCATTCTTTGATTCATTCCATTCCCACTTTATTTCATTCAACCACACCAAACTAGCCCTTATAATATGGTTTGTGAATGATCAATCTATTTTTGCAATTAAAATCACAGATTTTATGCTTTCAGCTTGTTCTACTTTATTGGGTCCTTTTAATGGTTCTGTTACTCTACGCCAAGTATGGTGTCTTAGTTTGACTATTTCTATTTTCTTGGCAAACATGTGATACATATATTTGTCTTGCATTTTATAAGATAATTTTTTGGAAAAAAAAATACATTACACATTATAAGATAATTGTGTGTGTATATATATATATATATATATATATATATATATATATATATATATATATATATATATATTTGCATTTTATAAAATTACGTTAATTGGTATAAGCTAGTTTTATTATATAATAAGAATATGTCATTCTAGTTTAATCTAACTGATGTATCATAAGCAAGGGTATTTTGGAGAAACCAATTTATAAATCATTCTATTCCAGCTTTTTATTTGATCTAACCAAATACAGGAATGAGAATGGTTATTCCATTCTCTGTTTGTATCCAAACAGTAAATGAGAATGATTATTTCCATTCCATTCCCACTTGCATTCCATCCCTGCCTTATTCCATTCTTGCACACCAAACATGCCCTGATAATATTCTTGTTTGGAAAAAATAGAGGAGAGAAAAGAAAAGAATTAAATTACTATCATAACCTTTTTGCAAAATGTTATAGGGTAAATTACACGAACGTCCCCTGTGGTTTGGGAATTTACTTGGACCTCCCCTAAAAATGAAACTATCCTACAGGGGCCTCCCTTTTGTTAGATTCAATGTCAGTCAATGACGAATTCTGCTGATGTCATGTACTAAATTTAGTAAAATGCCCATACCCTTATCCCTACCATTTGTATCCACCGTGTGTGTGTGTGTGTATATATATATATATATATGTATATATATGTATAGTTCTTGTATAAAACAAAGAGAAAGTCTTTCCCAGAGATAAGGAGGCGATCCAGAGGACGTTTTGAAACCCTAGCTGTGACCAAAGATTGATCGGACCAAAGATTTGATGGATTCTTTAAGGCTTCGTTTGGATACACAGGGAAGAAAAGAAAGGAATGGATTATAAGAGAAAAGAAAAGAAAAAAAAAAAGAAAAGAAAGGAAAGGATAGCTATAATTTATATTCATGTTTGGATATAGAGGAGAGAAAAGAAAGGAATTGACAATATTGTTGTTTGGATAACACAAAGGAGAGAAAATAAGGGAAAAGATGATAGTAAAATTACCATCTTACCCTTTTTTGGTAGATATATATATGTATATATACACAGAGAGAGAGAGTGTGTGACCTTAACGAATACTGTCTTCAAAAGTCTGCCAGAAAATGTTGTGATGTTTGCTGTAATGTTCCTTAGTTTCAAATATTTAAAAACCTGGCACAACTTCACCATGGTGTCTACTCTTTTACTGCATATGAGGCTCACTACAACTGTTTTTTTCTCCCGTATGACCCCCTCAACTCCAATAAATCAATTAATTAGTAATTAGTCACAAATAATAATAAGAAAAATAATAGTAAATTAAGTCAAATTATTTGATCAAATTCTAGAGAGAGAAAAAGTGACCCACTTCAAGAACTTTAATGGGCGATATCCTTGTACTCCCAGAATCATAGCTATGATCAACCCTTTTCTTCTTCAATCTCGTCAACGCCGGCATCTCACGATCAAAATCAAACACCAAATTATTCTTCACGTTCCTGGATTCCAGTTCCGATATCTCCTCTTGAATTATCCTTTCTTGGTCATGCAATTCTTGGATATAATCTATTTCATCTTTGATTATTGACGTCTTGTCCATCTAATTCATTTCTAAAATCAACTTTCTTGGTCTGTAATTCTTGTTTTGCAACTCTCTCTTTCTCTCTCTGCAACTGCAAATTACATATATATATATATATCCCCCAATAGCCTCCATCTCGTTCTCAACCTCCCCTTTCTCTCTCTCTGCAACTATAAAAATTAAAACCCATATCTGCATATCATTTCAGATTGTTAAACAAATCAAAACCCATATCTATCAGTTTCCAACACCTGCTTGTCCAGTTTGGTCGCTGTTCGCAAAGCTTCAGTCGGCTGTCTCGCTTTGCATCTGCCAATTCGTAGAAGCAGCTTGTGGCCATCAGTATCCATGGGAGGGATACTTTTGTCATTAGCTCCCTTTCTTTCCAAATCCTTTCAAATCTTGTAAATTTTGCAGGGATTCCAAATGAGGAATTTGGAGGGATAGCTATCCCTCCAAATCTTTCTAAATTATTTATTTTCTCTTCAAATCATCCCATCCGAACGCAACACTCCTTATCCTTTCCTTTCGTTTCTTTCCAAATCCCCCTAAATCTTCCCATCCAAACGAAGCCTAAGTGATTGGGATTGGGATTCAAGTTTCGAGTTTAAGTGATTGGTGTTCTTTGTTTGGGATTCCTTGATTAGTGTTCTATGTTTAGAATTCAGACTCTAAAGTATACCCCAATCCATCTTCTTCTAACTCAATGCCCCAATCCAACCTCAATTTGACAAAAACCAATACCACAACAAAACTCGTTCTTATCTGTCCAACGACAATACCACCGTACGTATATGATGGTGACAACGGGCCTTTTCTGAGTTCTCGCTGCCTGAGATGAAGAGACCGATGGTGGATTGCTGTCAAGGAATTTACCAAAATATCTTTTGCCTAATCCTAAATAGTTCGTCATACTGATTTGGGGCAATTACAACAGTGATGTAATTTACGGGGGTGGTGGCAGTGAGGTTTAGGGTTAAGGCAACAGTGTTAAGGCTTGGTTCATGGCGGTGATGATCTTGGTCTGGGTTTTGCAACGATGTTGAGATGTTGGTTCACGGCGATGGTTTAGATTTTACGACAATGTTGGTTTATGGCAGCCATCAGTTATGATCTTGGTCTGGGTTTGCAACGATGTTAAGATGTTGGTTCACAGTGCCTCGCGATGATCTTGGTTTGGGTTAGCAATGATATTAGTTTATGACTGTCGGTGGTGATGATTTTGGTCTGGGTTTACAACGACGTTGGTTCACGGCAGCGAGATCTTGTTTTGGGTTTGCAACAATGTTGAGATATTGGTTAATAGCGGCTATGGTCTTGGTCTTGGTCTTGGTTTGCAACGATGCTGAGATGTTGATTCATAACAAGTATGATCTTGGTCTGGGTTTGCAACAATAGTGTGATGTTGGTGTGTTGAGATACGTGCGTGAGAAAGAGTTGGGAAAAAGATGAAAGTTGAGGGTATTTCAGTAAAATAGACAGGTTCGTTAGTGCAATTGACGGACCTTCACTAGGAAGCTAAGGAGGTCCATGTAAGATAGTTTTATTTTTAAGGAAGGTCCGAGTAAATTCCTAAATCACAGGGAAGATCCCTGTAATTATGTCAAACCATATAGGAGGTCCATGTAATTTATCAAATGTTATAAGATACAGGTCAAATGTTATAAAAAGTAGTTTTGGTATTATGAAAATATTATACTTACTCACTATCCTTTCCCTTCAAATCTTTTCATTTTTAGCACAATAACCTATGAAGAATTTGGAGAGATAGCTATCCTCCAAATCTCTCCCAATCCTTCTTTTTTTTTCTTCACTAAAAATTACCAATACACGATTTTCACAATTATTTCTTTTCTTTTTTTTTTTTTTTTTTTCTTTCTAGATTCCTTAATCCAAAGGAAGCCTTATACTTTTAATAATTCGAAAGCAAGAAATTTAAAAATAAGTTCAATAAATATAATTTTGATTTTGTATGGACAAAATTTCTTCAACCCTTCTTTCTCTCACTTTTGTAACTCGCGGGAATTGAACCCACTAGAAAAAAGACTCTGGCCATCCACAACCTTTTACGTTTAGCTCTTCGACTCTCTCAACTCCACCTATGTCTCCCTCTCTGATCGTGACACCGATCTCATCCTCACCAACCAACTATAGCTCGGCCAGTCCATCGCGCTTGCGACGTTCGCCCAGTTGCTGTATCCCTTGTTCGCATCGTCACAACCTCGTCGCCGTTCGGCCCGGTAAGTTCAGTTCAGCCTCAGCTTGGAGTCACTGCTCGTCACTGCTCGTCACTGCCGTTCATCTACTTTCAGTCAAGTGCGTTTAGGTTAAACCAATAGAAAGAGAAACTGGAGAGAGGAAGTGTTTCTGTGGTCTCTTTCCTTTGTTAGCTGTAGTTTCAACCAACTAAATAATTTCTAAGTGAAAAGAGGAGAATAATGAATGGATCAACAAATATTATTATTTTTGTATTCAATTCTTTGTTGTGTTGATATATCTTAACAACAAAGCCCTTAGACTATATATACTATTCTCTTAAAGACCATTGAACTTTTCAAGACAATTTAAACCACACACATGATATATGCATTCACTTGATACATGTACACACTTGATCCATGTACAATAAAAGATATATGAATAAACCCAAGATGCATAATGAACATGGCATTAATTTAATTTTAACACACCCCCTTAGTGCCATATTGTGACACCCAAAAATTCTCTAAAGTATTCAAACTTATATTTTTGGAAGTGCATTGGTAAAAATATCCGCAACTTGGTCTTCAGTCTTACAATACTTGAGTTGAATATCTTCATCCTCTATGGCTTCTCTAACAAAGTGATGCTTGATTACAATGTGCCTTGTGCGACTATAGAAAATGGGATTCTTTGTTATAACAATTGCGGATTTGTTGTCAAATAAAATTGGAGTAGCTTTTCTTTGCTTCTCACCAACATCTTCAAAAACTCTCCTTAGCCATATTGCTTGTGACGCTGCCAATGATGTTGAAATATACTCAGCCTCGGCAGAAGATTGCGCCATCGTTTCTTACTTTTTAGATGCCCATGAAAATGCACCTGAACCAAGAGAGAATGCATAATCGAAAGTACTTCTCATATCATCAATACATCCAGCCCAATCACTATCACTATCACCAAAACCAAACAACTTTGCATCAACATTTTTCTCATACAAGATGTCAAAATCAAGTGTACCTTGTATATATCTCAACACCCTCTTGGAAGCCCCAACATGAATTTGGCTTGGATTGTGCATAAACCGAGATAATAAGCTTATAACATACATGATGTTGGGTATTGAAGATGTCAAATACAATAGACTTCCAACCATACTTCTATAGAGAGATGCATCTACTTCTTTACTTCCATCTTCTTTCATCAATATTTCATTCACAACTAAGAGAGTGCAAATGGATTTGCAATTCAACATTTTGAATTTTTTAAGAAGAGTTTTTTTGCATACTTCTTTTGACAAATAAAAACTCTTTCTTCTTTTTGATAAATTTCAATGTCCAAGAAGTAATGCAACAAACCCAAATCACTCATTTCATATTTTTTAATGATCTCCCTTTAAAATCATCAATCATTTTTCCATCATCACTGGTAAATACCAAATCATCAACATAAAGAGAAACAATAAAAATCCCGGTTTTACCTTGTGTCTTGTAGCACAAGGTTGGCTCATTTTTGCTCCTTTGCAAGCCTTTTTTGATGAACTAAGAATCAATCTCACTATACCATGCTCGGGGTGCTTAATTTTGGCTATATAAAGCCTTCTTCAATTTAATTGTAAACTTTCTCTTCTTCTCCTTTTGCAACAAAACCTTGAGGTTGTTTTACATAGACATCCTCTTTCAAAACACCATTCAAAAAGGCTAATTTTACATCAAGTTGATACAAAGACCAACCATTTGAGCCACAAAGGCAATGAGTGCTCTAATTGTGTCAAGATGAGCCATGGGTGCAAAAGTTTCTTAAAAATCAATTCTGGGCTGTTGTGAATACCCTTTTGCTACAAGTCTTGCTTTGTTCTTTTGAATGGAGCCATCCGGATTGAATTTTGTTTTAAAAATCCATTTCACACCAATCACATCTTTGTCTTTCGACTTCTGTACTAATTCCCAAGTCTTGTTCTTCTCAATTAAATAAATTTTATTTTCTAAAGCTTTCTTCCTTGCCTCTTGTTTAATTACTTCTTTAAAGTTCTTCGGTTCAACAACACAAAAATTGCAACTTGCATACACATCACTAAGACTTCTCATTTTTCTTGGAGTTGAACTTGGAGATAAGGAATTTGAGTTTGATGGAGAAGTTAGGATTGATTGTAAGCTAGATACGGGAGACATTTCTTGTGCAACTTCAAGAATATTTTAATTTTCATTTTCTTGATTTTCTGATTCTTCATTAAAAGTGCTGATTTGATCTTGAACTTTCTTCTCTTTCCAATCCCAAGCAGTCTTCTCATTAAAGAGAACATCTCTACAAATAATCAATTTATTCTTCTTCAAATTAAAGAGTTTATAGCCCTTTGGTTTTAAGCTATAACCCATAAAGATGCATTTTTCACTTAGCTTCATCAAGTTTATGCCTCACTTTTCTTGGAAAATAAGCAAAACAAATACACTCAAAAACTTTCAAGTGGTTCAATGATGGCTTCCTTCCACTCCATGCTTCAAATGGAGTTTTATTCTCCATCGCTTTGTTAGACTTCTATTCATCAAGTAAACAGCCGTATACACCGCTTCACCCTAAAATGATTTAGGTAGCCCCTTCTCATAAAGAATTGATTTTCCCATCTCAACAATTGTTCTATTTTTTCTTTCTGCCACTTTATTGTTGTGAAGTGTACCCAACCGTTAATTGCCTCTCCAAGCCAATATCTTCACAAAACTTTTCAAAATCACTTGAATTGTACTCTCCACCTCTATCACTTCTTAACACTTTGATAATATGGCCACTTTGCCTTTCAACAAGCTTTTGAAATTTTTTGAAAATAAAAAACACATCTAATTTTTGTCTCATTAAAGAAATCCATGTCATTCTTGAAAAATCATCAATGAAAATAATAAAATATTTGTTACCCGTATGAGTTGGTGTTGTCATCGGTCCACACACATCGGTATGAATAAGCTCTAATCGTGTTTTAGTCCTCCATGCTTTCTCTTTCAGAAATGACTCTCAGTGATACTTGCCAAGAGCACAGCCTTCAGAAACTTCTTTAACTTCTTGTGTTGTTGGCAGCCCATACACCATGCTATTTTGTTGTAAATTCTTAAAGCTTTGGAAATTCAAATGCCCAAGTATTCAATGCTAAAGCCATGACTCATCAACAATATCCATCTTTAGGGCCATATTTTTTTAACATGAAAAAGTGAGAGGAAAGCTTCTATTTTCCCCATCTTGATTTTTGCCATACTATGATTTTGTCCTCCCTTGTCATAAATTTTGCAAGAGTCCTCATCAAAATGAATGGTGTACCCATGCTCTACAAACTGGCCAACACTTAACAAATTTTGCTTCAAATTCGGAACAAGTAATACATGCCAAATATGCTTTCTTCCTTTCTTTGTCTCTATAGCAATAGTGCATTTTCCCTTTGCTTGGACTAAGGCACTGTTTCCTATCCTCACTTGAGAATTTAATGAAGAATTAATCTCCAAGAATATGTTTTTATCTCCGGTCATGTGGTTACTACACCCACTTTCAAGAAACCATACATCATTCTTTTGTTCTGATGCCGTGTGACAAGCATAAAACATGATCGCTTCACCTTCTTGCTCTGCGGAAAAATTAGCTTGTTGATTTGTTTTCAACCAGCACTCTTTTTGAACATGTCTAAATTTCTTGCAATTGAAACATTGAGGTTTTCCCCGAAACCAATAATCTTTGTTAACATGGCTACTTCTCTTGCAAATTTCACATTTTTGATGAGTGGACTTTATATTTCCACTTCTCTTAAAAATATTTCTTCCTCTTCTTCTTGAATTTCTTCCTCTTCCTTTTCCATGTCTTCCACCTCTAGAAGATTCTCCTTTGGATTAATTAAAACTTGATGGGTATTTTTCTTGATTTTTTGAACTAACATTGAGTTTGGATTGAAAGGCACTTTCAATTGTCTTTTTAGAGTGCCTATTCAACCTTTACTCAAATGCTTTTATGGAACCCATCAATTCTTCAACACTCAAGTTTTAAAGCTCTTTAGTCTCTTCAATAACAGCAACAATAGGGTCATATTTTTTGGGCAAACTAATTAGAATTTTTTCAACAATTCTTTGATTAGAAATATTTTCCCCATAGGTCTTCATTTGATTTACCACCTCTATAAGTTTATAAAAATAATCTTTCAATAACTCCATTTCTTTCATCTTCATATTTTCAAAATCTCTTCTCAAAGATTCGAGTTTTACAGTTCTTACATTCGTGCTGCCTCTATACTCCTTCTCAAGGATTTCCCATGCCTAATTTGCTTTAAAAGCATTGACAATTCCGGGAAAAATTGTTTCAGCAACTCATTATTGAATCAAGCCTAAAGCTTTTGCATCTTTCTTCTTATGATCCTTCAATTGTTGTCTTTGGGTATTCATCAAAGTTGTTGTATCCTCTGGTTTATCATACTCATTTTCAACATAGTCCCATAAATCATATGAAAGAAAAATGGTCTTCATATTCACATACCAAAAATCATAATTTTTCCAACAAAAAATGGGAAGTGTTGATTGATGGGCACCTTAGTTTTGATTGCTTTTAGTCGCCCTCACGATCGATATAACTTTTCGGGGTTTGTTTTCCCGTTAATAAACTTCACGCCTAGTTTGCGCTTGATTGAAATCAAGCTCTAATACCACTTATGTTGGCTGTAGTTTCAACCAACTAAATAATTTCTAAGTGAAAAGAGGAGAAGAATGAATGGATCAACAAATATTATTATTTTTGTATTCTTTGTTGTGTTGATATATTTTAATAACAAATCCTTTAAACTATATATAATATTCTCTCAAAGACCATTAAACTTTTCAAGACAATTCTCAACCACACACATGATACATGCACTCACTTGATACGTGTACACACTTATACATGTACAATAAAAGATACATGAGTAAACCCAAGATGCATAATGAACATGGCATTACCATAATTTGACATCCTTTTATCGGATGCGACTCAAACTCATTAGCGTCCTCATCATTGGCAATAGCAACATTTGAGACCAGTAGGGTCTTCGATTCGAAATTAAAGAAAAGTTTGGTGAAGCTTAAGAGAAAATCAGGAAAAAAAAATATGAATTTTCCTCTTCTCTCTGTTTCTATGGTATTGTTGGAAGGAAAAAAGCAGAAATGAAGCACACAAATTCATTATGGAAGAGGATGGAGTTAGAGAAGGGTCACGTGCGAAAAACCCCCTTATACTACTATTCAAATTGTGTGTATAACACCTCAAGTTAATTTGTTAACTACCCTTATGCATAAAAATATGTGCGGCTTAGTCCCTTTTGTCCATTGTTCGGTACCAGAATTGCAAATAGACTTAAATACCCATCTCTTTATAATTTTTAAAAATAATTACAATAACAGGAAATGTGAAAATACAAAAAAATCACTGTTTGTTAAACAAAAAAATCCTTACATCGCCATCGGCTATGTCACGTCCCTAGCAAAAAAATCTTTGTCGCCGCCGTTTCAACTCACTATCAGACCTTGTTCGGCGCCGTACAACGTCGCCATCCCGAGCACATCCATAAATCTACTTGTCATTCGGAACAATACTCTTGCTGCCAGATTCTAAACTGTTGCTACTCTTAGCTAGGTCAACTTTGAACAATGGGGAGTAATCTTCTAAATGTGGAACTCAGTTGGCAAAGAGATAACTATAGTATCACTCTAGGTTCTACTTATTAAAGATTTACTATTATATTTGTTATTGAAGGGATCAATGGAGGATAATCCTCCATTATTGATGTTTCCTTTTATTGAAGATACTCGAGGAATTTGTAGAGAAAAATATTTCAGTATTGATGTTATTCCCTATATCTATCTCTTTCCATTCTCACTATTTTTTCTCTTATATAAAGGAGTCTTCACCATTGTATTAAGCATGAAAAGAGATTATTATAATAAAAGATTTGTAACCCTCTGGACTTTGTGTGCCACCCTTTGGACTTTGTGTGCCGTGGACCCTAATGGCTGAACAACTTATATTATGCTTTGTGTTTTTCATACTTTGTTTCTCAATTCAATTTTAACACTACTGACTTGTATAGATCAGTTTAAGCTTTCTTCATTAATACTCATTATATATATATATATATATACACAAACACACACATGTATATCTTCAAGAGAGATGAATCAAGTGTTGGGGAAACGAAAGTTTTTTTAA